ATCCCGCGAAACACGTCCATATATATATTCAAAAGTTCCTACCAGCTCACCCCGCACGGGACCTGTTTAATGTCCGGATATGAACGCCGTATGCGGATGTTTCTATTTTTAGATGGCAACGGGCCGTGTGTGGCAATCGGCCAGCGCTGTCGCCATGGACAAGTACCTCCGCCTCCTCAAGATGGGGATGCCCCGCGAGCACGTCGAGCTCAAGATGCGCGCCGAGGGCGCAGATCCGTCTCTGCTGCCGTCGCCGTCGGTAGCCGCCGACGCCTATGTACCCCCGCCGCCCAGTCCGCCGACGGCGGTCGCAGCGAGCCCCAGCTTGCGTGGCCAAGACAAGCCAATGCAGCCGCCGCTCCCTAGCACATCAGCAAGCATGGATGGTCCATGCATCGCGTCGCATGAGATCGATACTACCGATCAGAGCCCAACGGTCCGCGCTCCTCCAAGCCCGCACGAGCTACCGGGCGTTGCCAGTGCCAACGCAGCAACCATCGAGCGCGCTCGGCCCGCGATGGCGGAGAAGATGTTTACAGTTCACTTGTCAGGCGCTGGTCATCCGGTGGCGGCGCCGTCCTTGCGCGATCGGCAGCGCCGATGGCTCCAAAAGACGCTCGTCTCGTTCGGGCGGGTACATGGTACAGTAGTGTCCGAGTGGCTAAGGCGTCGCGTAGGCCACGCCGACACCCGACGACGTGTACATCAAAGCCAAAGATCGCTTCTTCGGGCTGCTCAAGAGCATTCTGGACATTCGCGGGAGCTTGTCGCGCTACAAGGCCATGCTGCCGCAGTACTCGCTCGCGTGCGCGCAGCTGGGCGTCGACGTCTGGTGTGTCACGAGCGCCGATGCGGTCGGGCGGCAAAGCGTCGCGGCCGAGACCTTTCGCCACGCCATGTGTGCCATCAACGAAAAGCAAGAGATCAAATCTCACTTTTTCAATGCGGTATGTCTTTCGTGCGTCGAATTGCTTCATTTTTGGCAAAACTCACTACAAGCGTAGGACGCTGTGCTCTCGGGTGTCATTCAGTTTGTGGACATTCACATTCGCACCATGGAGTCGTTCAAGGTATTACAGAGTACATAGTATCCGAGTACATGGCGCGACGACTCTTATAATGTAGCCTGCGATGCAGCACCGCGAAGCGCTCAAGCTTGACTATGACAGCTTTGAACGGAGTGCGCACGCCATGCGCCGCGCCAAGCGCAGTGTACCCGAGCTCTCGAGAGCCGATGCTAATGTCGCGACGGCCCGAACGGCGCTGGACGCTGCCACCATGCACTTGTTTCGGATTTTCGCCAAGTACGAAGCACAGCGTGATACGATGCTCGATGGCGAGCTCGAAATGGTGCGGATAATATCAGATCCAATAGCAAAGCTATGTCTGTGGCGAGCGTAGGTGCGCCAGGTCATGCACACGTTCTACGAGAAGAGCGCCGAGGTCACGCGCTTCACAATCGACACGAGCGTGGACATCCAAGCTCTACGTGCCAAAGAAGACAGCGTATGTCTTTGTAGCATGTGTATCGACGACAAATGGTGTTCTAGCTCTTGGCAGCGATGACGTCCAAGGGACTCTTGACGCCACCACCGGAAAAGGACAGCTCGACTGTCATGGAAGACGTGGAGCTTGGCGAACCAGAGACCAACTGGACCCGGCAGCTCCACTCGTACCGGTCGCACTGCCCCAAGATACCAGAGATCAAACGCAAGTGCGTCGAGCAGCCATGACTCGACCAAACAATATATGAATTTCAACCAAACTGCGATAAGCCCAAAATAATGTGAAACGAGGCAAGGTATTCAGTTAGATGCTGGACACGAGAGAATTGAAGACAACCAACTACCTGGTACAGTACTCCCACGACCGGCGGTTGTCCCATCTCTGCAAGGGCTTCTTCAACGAGCTCCGTGAGATCCACGGAGGATGGTGCACCCAACACGTCCGTGCGTTGCTCGGTCGGTCTAGCAGAGGTGACCGCAGTTGCTACTGCCAAACTTCCCATGACGATCGATTGACATGGTACAGGGCAATGCCGTCGACGGGACTGGCGTCGTGCCACGGAGGCTCAGGTTTGTCTATGGTCTGAATATGCCGCATTTAGCTCAAAATTAAATTCGGCATTTGAAGCACCCCGGCGTGATATGGACACTCCCACTTGGATTCAAAGTGCTACCACACCACTGTACCATGCACAAGATAAAGGATACAGGTGAAGTCCGTGTTCTGTAGCCCATGTTTTATGGACGATTGTAATCCTTCGGCCATGCATGATGGCGTGTGCACCAGCATGACGTCGGGGGGACGATGCGACCGCGGGATGAAAAGCCTTGGAAAATCTTGCGTACTGCTTGTGCGTCTGTTTTTTTGCTGCGACGAACAAAGAAGCACCGCTTGTCTCTCGTAGGAGCCACTCGCGTTGCTCGTTCGGGCCGTCCGAGCGCTGTAAAGTCGAGCCTTTTCTTGGCTGGTCTTGAACGCATTCCATCGGGTGCCTCCTTGATCAATCACAGATCGATTTGGGTGTTGATGCAAATGCCGAATTGAAGGTGCCGATTTTACCCACGTTGCACTTCCCGCGCCGGCTGGCAGGCGGAATCCTTGACACGAAAGCGTGTCTTTTGCACGAGCGTTTGTATTGGCGCTCATTTACGCTTCGTTCGCCCTTCGCATGGAGCTCTCGGCGTTTGAGCTCAGCACCTTTCGGCGCTATATCCGCAACCTGCGCGACCTGCCGCCGATCCACGTTGTACGCGACTACATTGGCCGCAACGCGTACGCTATCGTGAGCAAGGGCGAGCTGCGCGATGATCCGGTCGCGCTCAAGCGCAGCTTCACCAACGTCACGAGCCGCGAGCACTTGGTGCGCGAGACGCACCTTCTCTCGGGGTATGGCTTTTTTTTCATTTCAAAATCGCTGAGAAGTAAGTGCAACTTGTAGGCTTGCGCACCCGAGCATTGTGACGTGCCATGGTGCGACGTGGCGAGGCGAGGCCATGGACGCGGCGCGCAACGACCTCTGCTGCGTGCTCGAGTTTATGGAGGACGGCAACCTCGAAGACTACTTGGCGGCACACCCGTCGCTGCCGTGGTTTCCCACCAAACTGCAATGGCTCTACGACATTGCGCTCGGTACGCATGGCATATATTTGGTAACGCGTCTTGACGCAGCACGGATTAGGGCTCGCGTATCTGCATCGCCTTGGGTTCATCCACCACGACTTGGATCCGTGCAACGTCCTGTTGCGGGGCGACCACGCCAAGCTCTGCCAGTTTGGCCAGTGCCTCCACGCCACGGAAGACGTCGACGAGGTTGCGACCAATGCCACGTACGCCGCGCCTGAAATCGCCCTCGAGGTGCGCCCTCGTATCTTTTTTGAAGTATTTTTCAATGATTTTAGAACTGCAATCTGCCCGAAAGCGACGTCTGGTCGTTTGGCGCGCTGCTGGCGACCATGGACCGGCACATGGCGTCGTTTCTGCGCAACTGCGGCGATGAGGACGAGGACGAGGACCAGAATGACGCGATGATGCTGACGCTCAAGATGGCACACGCACTCGCGGAAGAGCACATGACACCTGCTTTCTCCAACTTGTGCCCGCCCGAGATTCTGTCGCTGGCGCGCGACTGCCTGCGCATGGACCCTTCCTGTCGCCCGACCGCCGACGAGCTCGTCGCGCGCATCGAGACGATCACAGACGAGTACAACATGGTGTTAAAACCACTGCCCATGTCGGCGGTCGCCGAGAAGCGCGAAGCCGAGCTTCTTAACGTGCTGCCGCCGCGGCTACGACGCTACTGAAGCCCCCGTTGGCTCTGGACCGTGTGCTTGCGATCTGGTGGTAGACTCGCCAAATGCCTCTCTTCTTTATAACTAATATTTCTCAATGCCACTCGTGCCATGGAGCACCAAGGCCACGATCGCCAGCCTGAGCAGATGCGGGGTTAGGGTTGGTCTGACCTTGAAGGTTAAGGGTATTTACCAACACAGGATGACAATGTGTACATCCATAAACTAGAGTCAATGGGGGACCCTTATTGCAGGTACTGCTCTAAAAGGGTACAAAGCTCCAGTGTTGTCGGGCGCTCGGACGGCTCTAACGCCATGCAGCGCTGAGCCACCTCGATGACCCATGGCGGCGTCGCATCGGACCGTAGGCGTGGTCGGAGCGCGCCAAGCGTCACTTGTGTCATAATGTACTGCTGCGAGTACGGGCGGAGTGTACTTGGGTCCATGAGGCTTGCGTACGGCACTGCATGTGTCGATAGCTCGGTTAAAACACACCTGCAAGAGACATGTCTCATAACCCTACCCCTAAAATCAGCGCACGTACCAAACGAGTAAATGTCGGCCGAGACGCTGTAGTCGGTGCTCAGAATGACCTCGGGCACCATCCACTGGTACGTGCCAATGCCGTTGGTGAGGGTTGATGCGTCGACTTGGCGCGAGCAGCCGAAATTTGAGAGTTTGGCGCCGCGTGTCGTGTCGAGCAGGACATGCCGCGCTTGCAAATCCCGGTGAATAATGTCTTTTTCATGGAGACAGAGCAAGCCTCTTGCGACATGCACAAGACGTTGGGTCTTGAGGGTCCAGGAGAGACGCGGCCGCGATAGCAAGACGAGCTGCAGACTGTCTTGGTCCATGTACTCGATGACGCACTCCATGTCGATGGGTCAGCGTCAGCGCACGACATAGAGGCGCACGACATAGTAGCTATATTGGACCCTAGTACCACGATCGACATGTTGATCTATTGCAAGAGAAGAGAGTATTACGTACTGCGTCAGTCGCTGTAGTTCGTGGAGAAAGCAGTCGACCGTTTCGGAACTGCGATCTCAAAGACGCTTGATGACGATCGGCTCTCCTTGGCAGTGGCCACGCCAGACATCCACGTCGCTGCCCGTAGCAATCGACACGTCCCCGACGACGGCATAGGTACTCGAGTCAATCTTGTAGGGCGTCAAAATGGCAACATCCAAGTCGACACCTCGCTCGTCCATCAACGACACCGACGACGACGACGACGATCGGCGGACCACCGTTTTGTCGAGAATGTTAAACACCTGCGTCGGCTTGGGGTCTGTCTCGGTGTCTGAACTCTGCCGCTGCCGTCGCCGCTTGCGACACCCCCAGAAAAGAGCTGCAAGGAAGACGAGTGCGACGGCCCCAAGCCCCAGACCGAGACGCAGCGCATAACCTATGGTCCACTGAGCTTTCATACTACGTGGCCATGATGTATACTGTCTGCGTCAGCGGGTTCGCTGGGTAAATCTACATGTAGTGCACGTGGGCAATGACAATTCGTCACGAAGATGAGTACCTGTGATGCAGACGGGGATCGAGACCTTCGCCGCGAGGTTGCGCATGCGCCCACCGAAGGAGTCGCAAGCCCACTGGCTGGCAGCATCGACGCGCGAGAGCGTCGTGGCAAACAGCCCTTTGGTGGCCGTCGCATTGGTAGCGATGGAGAGTGCGTTTAAGGCGTCAAATGTCGCAGCGGTTGCCACGAACGAGTTTAAACTGCAGCCGTCGACACCACTCCGTCACAATTATCAAATTTCGACCTGGCATGAATAGCGTGCGAGTAGATGAGCGACTTGGAGAGGTTGACGTAGTTGAACGAGACGAGCCGATTGCCGCTAAGATCGCTAGAAAGATGGAATTTCTGCCAGCGCATCGCATCGAGGTTGTCATACATGTGCTTGATCGACGTCCAATCTTGGTTCTGGATCGCTTCAATGTCGTTGGACGAGACGTCCCTAGACACACAACATGCTACATCTGCGTGCAACGGTCGTCGTCGCTCAGTGCCATCAAGCCCGTCGGTACGTTCTTTAGCTGCGTGAGCTCGTTGTCTGGTAGCCCGCTAGATTGCCGCATCAGCCCGCGAATGTAGAGCGAGGGCACTTGCAGCGTGAGCAGCTCGGACGGCAGCGGCGCTGGGATCGTCTGGAGGCCTGCGTAGCGATCTACGCACGCGCTGTAGGTCGCCGACGACACGGCGACGAGAACGTACAGCGTGCTCAGTGCGCCGGGCAGGCGCATGTATGTACGTTGTGTTGAGCGGCGATGAGGTGTTGAGAATGTACCAATGCTGCATTCTGCTGCACGGCTCATGGCGAGGCAGGAATGTACCGCGCATCGAACGGATACAGCGTCATGTTGCCGATCGCGTCGATGCCAGCGGCCGTGCGCTGGTGGTCGTCGAGGCCCGAGCTGGTGACGAGCGCTGGGCTCACGAGACACATATGGCCTGCCCGGCACCGCAGTACGCATCGGCAACGAGGATCCGAGACGCGTTCGAAAGGCCGCTGGACAGACAAGGCGCTGCAGCCATGCTCGACGGCGCCGAGCTGGGCTTCCTCCGGCCAAGTTCGAGTGGGACAGATGACGGCCGTGAGAGAGAAGCCACCTCGGAGCCTGCGCCCGTCAAAGAGCATGGCCACCGAGCCCGTCGATCGATGCGATGAGCAAGACTCACACGACTTGGAACCAAGGCCCATGCTGTGCCGCATCCCGCAGGCGCGAGACCGGCCATGGCCAATGCTACTTGTTGATAGCGCCCGAGGACCATGATTGCCAGCTTGGCGATGGGCAGCGACCCGCAGCGCTTGTGTCCTCTGGTCGAGCTGGCGGCGTCGAAAAGCTTTGTGCAAGGCCGACCGGCCGCTGCCAGAAGAGCCATCTCACCGACGTGTGGTTGTGGAGCCGCGCGATGTACTAAGTGGACGTCGTGTTCGTCTAGTTATACCTAATCCCGAGGCGATCTCTATAGCTACTTGGTCTGCATGCGTGTGTTTACTCGAGCTCGCCAACGCCGCCCATTTCAGCGATCTTGGCCAAAAGCTCGTCGGCTTCGGCCTTCTTGAGGTCCTTCTTGAGGACAGCGGGGACGCCCTCGACGAGCTCCTTCGCCTCCTTCAAGCCGAGGCCCGTGATGGCACGGACTTCCTTGATGACCTTGATCTTATTCTTGGCATCAAAGCTCACGAGCTTGACGTCGAACGACGTCTTCTCCTCCTTGACTTCCTCGACAGCCGCCGCGCCGCCGCCGCCGCCGCCAGCCGCAAAGCCCATCTCGGGGATGTCAAACTTGGCCTACGATGAGGGTTTAGCCTCCATGCCCGCGACGCATAGGCGACCGGATTACCTGGATGGCCGTGGCGAGCTCGGCGATTTCAATCTTGGAAAGGTCCGCGATCGTGTCGAGGGCGACCTGGACGCGGGGCGTCAGGCCCGTGACCTCCTTGGATTCTTCGCTCGCTTCGACGAAGCGGGGCATGGAGGTCGAGATGGCGCGACGGCCGGCGGCGCGGCCAGCGACAGCGGTGGACGAACGGAGGACTCGGGCGAGCATGGTCTGGAAATTGCACTGGCCAAGCGCGGTCCTCCCACAATTGATACCTCGCAAGGTACATCCCGTACAATCCAGTACACGTACGTGCATTAATGTACGGTACGGCCGCCTGCGTGTGTTGGAGCCATACATCTTGGCCAATCCGAGGCCGTTGTGGTACATCCGGATAACCAACCACCAACATCCGCATACAGGACCGGACGATGCAGCTCCTGCCACTGTGGTCCTCAGTGGAGAGTGGAGAGCGTGGATCATGGAAAAGCAAGCAGTGAGGTACTTCTCGACTGCGTACAATAGTATAGCGGCTGAGAATTGGTTTCTGACCAGCGTGCGTCGTGCAGCAGTGCGATCAATGCTCCCAGAATAAATCCCTATGCGACGCATTGATCATCGCTTTTTCAACATGCAAAATGATTATTAAAGGCGCTGCAACATGCTCGCCAGCTGCATGCTCGACGGACGCGACGCTGGGTCGTTCTGGAGGCACACGGCCGCCATCTCGCGCACCCACGACCGGCGTGTGCGTCGCGTCCAGCGTCGGCGTGAGCTGCCCGGTGGTCACCTTGGTGATGATATACTGCTGGTTCCACGGACGACCCGTGCCCGGGTTGACCAGGTCCGAGTACGGCACGTTGTGC